CCGGCAACTCTGGATTGCACACTTCAGGACTGCAAACCGAGACCGGCACTGCTCAAGAAACAACAGGAAGAACACCGGAAATGGTGACCCCATCACCCTCTTCAAGCGTGGATCCGAACCTTATGGAAAGGTTCTTTAGCTTCATGTCGCACTTCGACAAGCAGCAGCAGACAAGGACACCTGCGCACTCAACACAGAGCAACGGAGGAAACATGGGATTAGCGCCGATGAGCCTCGACAACTCATCGTTCGGGCGACATAATCAAGCGCCTACCTTTCCGCCCTATCACTCTTCACCGGGGACGTTCGAGTTCATGCCGCCCCGTGCCCAACCAACAGCAGCTGCATCACAACAAACACCAAACGAGATACTTAGTCTCCAGGCGCAGTTTTCACACGTGATCAAACTGCAGACATCCTCACCGTTCAACGGACACGACTTCTTTACCTGGAGCTTTGAGTTCGAGCTGCTGATGGAGGCTGCGCATCTCTTGGGATACTTCAACGGGTCCCTGCCATTCCCAGCTGCTGGCGTACACAGTTCTCCTGCGGAACCTGTCACCACAAGAACAACAAAGCATCAAAACGTATCGGAGCTACGGAAACTCCGCGGAACTCGCATGGCATCACCTCAAGTGTCTCTATCAAGCAAACGACAGCGTGACACAAAGCGGACTCATGCAGCAGCTGACAACAATACAGATGAAGACCGGGGAAAAGGCGATGCAATATATGAGTCGATGCCAAACACTCCGCGACCGCCTGCTTCGGTGCGGAGGAACAATCACTGAAGAAAGGTTCGTGACGCTTGTCCTCGCTGGGCTCGGGCCAGAATGGAGAACCACCCTCTCGCTCCTTCGCGCCCACGGACGAATCTCGGAGATGCACCTCTGCACCGAGCTCCATGCTGAACAACAGGAGATGGACCTGTTTGAAGAAAGACAACCAAGGAAACAACAACCATTAGTCTTCTACACTCAACGAAGACACGACAACAACTACAACCGACGCGGCAGGCAAGATCAACGCGACAACAGAGGACTCACCATTGTACCGCCGTTCTGCCACAACTGCCAAACATCCGGACACTCCAAAGTCAACTGCACACGTCCCCGAGCTTATCGTCCAGTAGACCCACAAGTCACTTCCACTAAAGAAAGTCCGCCGAGGCGCTCTCCCACATCTGCACAAAATACACCGAATTTCATTAACTGCATGGTACACATCGACAACTGTGCACCCGGATCACCGCCAACATACGCTCTCAATGAAGTAGAACTACCGCCGCCTCGCTCACAAGGACTTCAGGTCAACCCGGCATACGCTGCAGTCGCCAACGCCGAACCCACCGGACGAAACACCTGGTTCTTGGATAGCTGTTGCGGTCAACACATGTGTTCTTCCGGACGCTTCGTGCAACGAGAGCGACGCCTCAACAGCGACGTCATCATCACCGTCGCCAACAACGAGAACCTGAAAACAAACAGACAAGGAGTGGTTCAGTTACAGTCCATGGAAACAAATGTCATCCTGCAACTCAACAAGGTTCTAATCGTCGACAACTTGGGATACAATTTGCTAAGCGTCAGCCAGCTAATGGCAAAAGGGATTCACCTGGAGTGCGACTCGGACTCCAACGAGTTTCGCCTTTACCACGAGAAGGGCGGCCTCTTCATCGGTCGTGCTCTCCTGAAGTCCGGCGTATTCGTGTTGGACTTCGTCCCCGACCGCGGTACTGCAGACAGCGATGGCATCGTGTCGTTCGCCGCCTGGACACACCCGCCGGATCTTGACCCCGACTTCAACCCCGATGGATTCTGGTACTCCAACACCATACCTGCAGCAGAAAGAACACGAGCGTTAGCAGTCATCAGACAAGAAAGACAAGTACCAGCAAGCGTCCCTTCCCAACCATCACCTGCAGTAGCAGCAGCAGGACCCAGCCGAGTACCACCACCGGCGATCCGAGGACCGCCAACTGAAGCAGATCAACTTATGCCCATCACACGAGAAGTCTGCCGAAGTCGCGCCACGGTCGTCGCGTTCTTCTCCAACACCGACATGTACCAACGCTCGCCCGGCCATCGCGCTTCCGACGACATCTGGCACCAACGCCTTGGGCATCCTGCAAACAGCACGGTACTACAAACCATCCAAGCCGAAGTGTTAGAACGAAACGCTCTTCTTACAACAAGCGGCCAAGAACTACGACAACCTCGCGCACGGTGCTTCACGTGCCCCGAAGCAGATCTTCCCCACCAACCTTTTCCATCACATCACAATCCGAGTGCACCTGCATACGCACCGATGGAAAAAGTTTACAGCGACATCTTAAACATGCCTCGGGACGACACTGAAGCCGACTTCAACTATGTCATCACGTTCATCGATGCAGCAACAAGATATGTCTGGCCCTACAACCTCAAAACGCGGGACCAAGCCTTCGAAGCCTTCACAACATGGCTCCCCATCGCTGAACGAGAATCAGGAACTAAGCTCAAGAGTTTCCAATCCGACGGCGCACTGGAATACCAGTCACAACGATTCAGGACCTACTTGGCGGAAAGAGGAATCAGCCGCCTGGTGTCTCTACCCTACGCTCACCAGCAACAGGGGGTCGCAGAAAGAATGAACCGGACCTTGCAGACGACGATGCGGAAGCTGCTCCTGGGGATGAGACTGCCCAACGCACTGTGGCCAGACGCGATGACCCATGCAGTCCACCTGCACAACTTGCTATCCTCGTCATCGCTTCCCAACAACGCATCACCGCACCTGCTGTGGACACAAAAAAGGGGCAGCACAAAATTACTTCGGGTTTTCGGCTGCATGGTACAGTACAGACCCCACATAGCCAGAGCAGGACGCTTCACTCAACGAGCACGATGGGGACTCCACCTCGGCATCGCAAAACATTTTCAAGCATGGAAAATCCTCGACATACAAGACAAAAATACCGTGGCATCACGTGATGTGATCTTCCACGAACGACTGACGCTGCAGCATTACCTGGACAACGTCGCCAACACAGACGACCCCACCGACGGTGTCACAGGCCTTCGCTCCTTCGCCGACCGTGCTGCCGAGGCTGACGCAGCAGAAGAAGACGTACCTGGAGCTTCGGAAGCTGCCGGACCACTCCCTTACTGTTCCGTGCCTGTTCCACTCGACGAAGACAATCCTCTCAATAGCAACAACCTCGACACCCTTTACCACTTCGCTGACCAAGGTTACGTTACACCTCACCCGGTCGACACAAATGTCTCAGAACGCATCGGCCCAAACTTCTTACCTGATCCAGAAGATGGTGACGAAGCAGCCTATTCGGGGAATGAAAATTCCCCTCGACACACACCCACGAGACTGCAGATACTCGGCTTATGGGTCTCCGTCCAGCATCCGCCGCCGCCGTCTCCGCACGAGCCAACGACCCTGTCGCATGCTTTGGGGGGGAAACACAAGGCGAAATGGGTGTACCGCATCAAGACCAACGCGGACGGTTCCATCGAACGATTCAAAGCTCGATGGGTCGTACGAGGCTTCGATCAACGATACGGAACCGACTACATAGAAACATTTGCCCCAGTCTCCCGTCACACCTCCTTGCGCATCCTACTCGCCGTCGCGGCCACGAAGAAACTACCACTGCGCCAAATCGACGTCGCAAATGCTTTCCTGTACGCACCTGTGGACGCCGAGATCTTCGTCGAGCAGCCCCACGGATTCATCGACGACCCTACAAAAGTGTGCCAGCTGATAAAATCCCTTTACGGGATCAAGCAAGCCCCGCGGCTTTGGCAGCAGCACCTTTACGGTCGCCTCGTCAGAATCGGATTCCTACAACTGCCACACGACCAAGGCATGTACCGACTACAGAAGGAAAGGGAATTCATCCTACTCATCGTCTACGTCGACGACCTGCTCTACATCGGCTCCACTACTGACATCGCCACCTGGCTCGAAGGGGAGCTGAAAAGGGACCTGACACTCACGGTGTCAGACACCGTAACCCAGTACCTGGGTCTAAACGTCGTCGAAGACAACTCAGCGTTCTACCTATACGCTGGAAAGTACGCAGGCGTTGTCGCAAAGAAGTTCGGACTAACACCAACTACAGTCGCGACTCCCTACCGCTACGGGAACAACAACGACACCTCTGCAAAACTCCCCGCGAAGCAAATCCAGGAGTATCAGCAGAAGCTCGGCTGCCTACTATTCGCAGCAGTAACCTGCCGACCTGACCTATCCTACAGCGCAAGCCAGCTGGCGACGCATCTGAAGCAGCCGGAACAAGAAGATCTCGAAGAACTAAACCGGGCACTACTCTACTTCGTCTCTACGCCGACGACTGGACTCACCTACAGCAAAGTAACAACACCATCCGTACAACTACTCGGATACGTCGACGCCGACCACGCGGGAGACAGGGAAAATCGACGATCGAGAACGGGCTACATCTACCGACTAGAACCTATCGGGACTATCTCCTGGCAGTCGAGCAAGCAGGAACTAATCGCACTATCTTCGGCTAAAGCAGAATATATCGCCCTCCGTACTGCGACCAAGGAAGGACTCTACCTACAAGAGTTGCTCGAGGAAGCGAAGATTGCGACCCTGCCCGTCTTCTCACTCCTCTGCGACAACCAATCTGCGATCAAAATCGCGAACAAGGACGGCTTCGCCAACCGAACCAAGCACATCGCCCTGCGGTACTTCTTCGTCAAGGATGAAATCGCGAAGGGGAGACTTCAACTCAGTTACTGCCTTACGACAGAAATGGCCGCAGACTATCTGACGAAGAAATTGGCGAAGGCAAAATTCGATTACTGCACGCTGCTGACCGGGCAGACAAACGTCACCGGATCTGAGTCAACGGAGGTTACATGAGGGGATGGACAAAGAACACGAAGGGACTCGAAGGGTCGCAACTGGAGGTTGCGACTGACCGCTACATGGGTCATTCACTTTATTGCTGTATGCTTGTTCAATTTAATCATTCACTTGTTCTCATATACTAGTACAAGGGTTCAACTACTCAACTTCCGCTGCACTACTCAAGTCTCATTCTTCAACTGGGACTTAGTCTCTGGAAAGATCCTAAGGGCTTTTCTCAGCCCAACACCCAAAAACCAATCTTAGGGCCTGGTGCTAAGCTAACCAATGCAAAGGGCAACCGCAGGCATTTGCAACCGTTGCAGAGACTCAGCCTCCATCAATTGCCTCGTTCTCAATATGAGTATATCGCGGTATAAGATCTAGGATACCCATATACCTGCAGACTGTTCACCACCCCCTAGTTACTAATTTCACTAACGCTGGGCAGAGACCAATAAGTGATACGCGCCTTTCTTTGTGAGCAACTCGTCATGCGTGCCCTGCTCCACTACCCGTCCCTTCTGCATCACCACAATGCAATCCGCCGCGCGCACAGTGGAGAGGCGGTGCGCCACGACCACGGTGGTGCGGCCCACCATGACCTTTTCCAGTGCCGCCTGCACCACCTTCTCACTCTCCGCGTCCAGCGCTGACGTGGCCTCATCCAATAGCAGCACTCGTGGGTCCTTGAGGATCGCACGCGCGATCGCCACGCGCTGCTTCTGCCCGCCACTCAGCTGCGTGCCGCGCTCCCCCACCAGTGTGTCATACCCATCAGGAAGTGAGGAGATGAAGCCATGTGCATTGGCGGCCTTAGCAGCCTCAACTATCTCCGTCTCAGTCACTGCCTCTAGCTCCTCTTCTTCCTCTCCCCCATCAGTGCCACTCCCGGCACTCTCCCTACTCATCCTGAAGTCGTGGCTCCTCTTGAAATCACGGCTGCCCCTGCTGTCTCCAAAGTGCCAGAAGCCCTTCTTCTGGCCGCCGATGGGAAGACCATCAGCGTCAACACCATCAGCACCACCGCTGGGAACATAAGTGGCAGCGCGGCCGTATGCAATGTTGTCGCGGATGGGGATGTTGAAGAGCGCGGGCTCCTGGCTGACGAGCCCCATGTGGCGGCGCAGCCAGCGCAGGTTGAGCGCGGCGATGCTGCAGCCGTCCAGCAGCACGGCTCCGCTCTGCGGGTCGTAGAAGCGCTCCACCAGCGCCACCACCGTCGACTTGCCGCTGCCGCTCTCCCCCACCAGCGCAACGGTCTGGTAAACAAGATTGGGGAGAGGGAGGGTGACAGGAGAATGAAGAGGACGAGATGGGGCGTGAGTGAGAGGAGAGGGACGTGAGGAATGGATGATTGAAGTAGGCCCCTGGAAAAATAGCACTGTGTGAAGATATCGTGCAGCCGTGAGAGTTGTGCAACGAGCAAGCGGCAGCAATGCAAGAGCAGGGTGTGCAAGAGCAGCATGTCATCCTGGCAAGGTACAGACACTTGCGTGCATTCATATACACTGTACACACGAAGACCCTCCCCCTCCCCATCCCCTTCCCCTCCCCATCCCCTTCCCCTCCCCCTCCCCATCCCCTTCCCCTCCCCCTCCCCATCCCCTTCCCCTCCCCCTCCCCATCCCCTTCCCCTCCCCCTCCCCATCCCCTTCCCCTCCCCCTTCCCCTCCCCCCAACCCACCCACACACGCACACACCCACCCACCTTTCCGGCCGGAATGGTGAGTGTGAAGTCCTGTAGAATGGTGAGGTGTGGTCGGGACGGGTACGCAAAAACGACTCCCTCAAACCGCACCTCCCCTCCCACGCCCTCCTCTGGCCGCTCCCCCGGCGCCTCTGGGTCGATGCGCGAGCGGCGGTCCAGCAGCTTGAAGATGGACTTCACTGCTGCCTGCGCCGTTGCCATGTCCGGGGCTAGACTGGCTGTTTGAGCCACGCCCATGGCTGTGAAGACCACTGCGAAGAATGACTGGGGGGGGGAAAGGGGGATGGGAGGGAGAGTGGGAGGGAGGGAAAGGGTGAAAGGTGAAAATGGGGGAGGGAGGAGGGGGGAGTGAATGGGGTGTGCGTCACTCTTATGGTTGTGAGGACCACTGGAAAGAATAGAGACCTGGTTGCGCATGTTGATCCTCTGGCATGGTGGTGGGGGGATGATAGGAAGGGACGATATGGAGGGGATGATAACCCCTGGACGACAATGAAGGAATGACGACAAAGGGATGATCAGAAATGGAAATAACAAGAAAGTACCAAAAGAAAGAAATGAAAAAACTTCGAAGGAAACGGATTGCCAGCATGAGTATGCAGGGATGCCATAGGGCACGTGGGCACCTCGGGAATCACCTGATGGGCACCTGAGAATCAGCCCTGGACGCACCTGAAAGACGGACTGGAAGTCAGCCTGGCCGATCTTAACAAGCTGCCCCCCGCACCAGAAGGAAAAGCCGTACACAGCAAACAGACAGAACTGCCCAAAGGCAAACCCCGCCCCGCTGACCTGCGAGGGAGAGGGGAGAGGAAGTGAGCGGTGGAAAGAGGTGGACGCGAAGTGAGGAGAGAGGAGAGAGGAGAGAGGGGCGGTGGGGGATGGTTCATGAGGTGTGTGGCAGAGGGTGCCCTGCCCTACCTACCAGGGTCGTGCATAGCTCCATGTTGACAGGCGTGACACTGGTGGCGCGGTGCAGCGCCGTTCTCTTTACCACCCCCTCCCATGCACCCTCCTACCCACCCCTCCCACCCACCCACCTGCGCTTTGCGCAGCCCTGCCTGGACGGGCGTGGCAGCGGTACAGCGCTTTGACGCGCCCCTTCACGCGCCCTATCCACATCTTCACCCCTCCCTCCCAACCACCCTCCCACCATCCACCCACCCACCTGCGCCTTTTTCAGCCCCGCCTTGACGGGCGCCGCAGCAGTGGCCCGGTACAGCGCCATGACACGCCCCTCTGCTGCAAACGACGCCACTGTGCGCATCGCCCCTACTGCATCCGATGCAATGCGTGTCGCCGCCTCGTACGCTTGCTGCGAGGAGAGCAAGAGAGAGGAGAGTGCACGAGTGTTGAAAAGGTGCGTAAGGCTTTGAAATCCCATGTGGGCATGGCTCCCACTGCATCTGCTGCGTGGCCGCCTGGTAGGCTTGCTGGCAAAGAAATCCCTGGGAAAGCACGGGTATCGGGGAGAGTGGGGCGAAGCGGGTGGGGGGGGGGGGGAAGGGTGGGGAGATGGAGAGACGGAGGGCGAGGGTGATTGAAGGAGAGGTGCTGGGCCTTGCTTTCGGTGTATGACAAAAGGACTGATCAGTTCGATCCGACTGAGTCTGACGCACTGTGCGTGCACCAGCCACCATAGTCTTGCGGGACTGGGGGAGATGCCGGTTCGGATAAATGAGAGATGGGGAGGGTGCAGGCTCTTCATCTGAAAGAGCGAGGCAGCAGCAATGAGCAGCAGCTGCACGAACAAGATAAAAGCGACCGCCCAACTCTACCCTCGCCAACAATTTCCCCAACTCCCCCCCCCCCCTAAAATCCCACCTTAGCATTGGTAGCAAGCCCTTGCAGGCTCTTCATCTGAAAGAGTGAGCCAGCAGCAATGAGCGACAGCTGCGCGAAAACAACGACCCTTTCAAACACCTCCCCCAACCTCCCCCCGTGCAACCGCCCCCTCTCCCACCCCCACTCCCACCCTCCAGAACCCACCTTGGCATCGGTGGCGAATCCCTGCAGGCTCTGCATCTGAAAGATCGAGCCAGCAGCAATGAGCGGCAGCTGCGCGAGGACGATGAAGGAGAGGATCCACGAGGAGGAGAAGGCGATGATGAGCCCCGCTATGAGTGTTGCTGCATTCTGCACCACCAAGGAGAGCCGGTCGCCCACTATAGAGTGCACGTGCGTCGCATCTGAGGAGAGACGAGAGCCGATGGCACCGCTGGTGAGAAGGGGAAGAAGAAGGGGGGGTGGGGGGAAGGGGAAGGGAGAGGGACGGGAGAGGAGAAGGGACACAAAGGGAGAGGAGCGACAAGAGGAGAGAAGAGAGGGAAGGACGATTATGGAGCGAGGAGGAGAGGGGCAAACAAGGGTTGCTGCGTTTGGCATGGCTATGGACATGGCGGGAGGTGGAGCAATTGGAGCAAGACTGAGGAAGATAGGAACAGTCACAGTTCACATGTTTATGCTATATTGTTGCAAAAGCATTGAGCATTTGTTGGGTGAGAGTTTGTGGGTATGGACCATTAGAAATTAAATATTCTTCAATCTAGTACAGCTGCAACAATGGTGGGGAACAACTAAGCAAGATGGCAATATGCTGCCAAATCTCTTTGAGGTGGCTGGTTTGGTTTGGGTTGGAAAGGAACACGTGTCAAGGTCGGGTTCTCATAGAGAGGGAAGTTCATAGCTTTTTTGTTTATCCTAAGAGTTTTTAGCTAAAATGCGATGCGATGTTTTATCCCATCGTTCTTTTTTTATCGCATTAAATGTGACGCGGTAAAATATTGCCTCGGGCAATTTTTTTTTTAGATTTCGGGTTATCGCACATCGCGTTCAGGGTGTGATATTTAGTCATATCGCAAATGCACTTGCGATATCTCGCGCGATGCGATTCGCATCACATTTTGGACCAGGGGGGAAAAAATGAGTGCAGACAACAGACGCAAAAAGGGTTGCACTCAGGTTTCACACAGGTGCGAGCCCCCTTGGTATAGGGGCCCGACTTTCATCCTTGGAATAGGGTTCATGAAAGAAACGGTCGCAAATCGCAAGTCGAGCTTCCCTAAACCCTACAGAGTCTAGGCCCTGAACGGCAGAATGCGCGGCTAGGCTAGGTAGGAGGTAGGTGGGGGTGCTGAGAAGTTGGAAAAAACGGGCACCATTCTGATTCCGCAAAGGGGAATCACAATGGCGCGTTTTTCTGGGTTTGTGTTCCTCCCGCCCCCCCCCCAACCCTGGCGAAATTGCGCGATACGACACGGGCGCAATGAAAATGCGGTTATGAACAATGTCGCGAGACAATTATCGCATCGCATCACGCGATATTTATCTTCAATAACAATATATATATAAAAAACACCGCAATCGTGAAAAAAACGATAAATCCGATGTGGTATTTTGCGATGCAATGTGGCATGCTCATGTCTACATCCCCCTCACCTAGAGTTCTCCTGCCTCTTAGACCACGCCAGCCTGAGTTGTTAAGGCAGCTTTTGACTCAAATCACGCATCAGCTTGAGGCTTGAGGCACCTCTGAAGCTCACCTGGGGTTGTCCTCCCCTAACCTCGAGTTCTCCTCCCTCACCTTGAGTTCTCTTCCCCCCTCCTAGAGTTCTCCTCCCCTCACCTGGAGTTCTCATCCCGGTCGAACCAGGCCATCTCCTGGCGGAGCACGGAGTGGAAGCACAGGCGGCGGATGCGGCGGATGAGGCGCTGCCCCGCGACGCTGAAGAGGAACGTCTGCAGCGTGCGCGACACCCACGCCACCACGGCCAGGATCACAAACATGAGCGACCAGAAGTCCGCGTCCTGCCGCATCTTGGCCTTGTCTGCAGGGCGGGAGAGAGGAGGCAGGGAGGAGGAGAGAGGGTGAGTGGAGAGGGGGTGAGAGGAGAGAGGGGGAGAGGAGGAGAAGAGATGTGAGCGACCAGAAGTCCGCGCCCTGCCACATCTTGACCTTGGCTGCAGGTGGGGAGGAGGGAGGGGCAGGAGGGAGGGGGAGGGAAAACAATGGCTTCTTGTTCTGGGCAAGCAGACTTGCTACTCCCTTCCGCTTCCCTGGAGAGCCCATTTTGGTTCTGGGCAAGTGGAAAGACCCCGTGTGACATGCCGTTCAGTTGATTGATACACCTATGGCATAGGTGAACATGTTATTCAACCCACCTAGGTTGTAGAAGACGGTGATGATGCGGGAGAGGATGAGGGCGAAGAGGGGCAGAATGATGCCCTGCACCGCTGCTGCCACTGTGCCTGACAGCGCATATGGCCACTCCGTGAGACCGCTTCTTCTTCTTCTTCCCCTTCCCCATCTCCTTCGCCTTGTGCCCTGTGCCTCCCTTCCCATCTTCCTCAGTGCCTTTCTTCTTGTCAGCATCACCTGCCGCTCCATCCTCAGCCTCCTCTTCCTCCTCGTCATCCTCAGAAGTGCTGCTGTCCTCAGAGCTCTCTCCCTTCACCTTCTTCCCCACATCCCCACTGCTCGTCTCCTCTGCTCCCTCACCCCCCACTGCTGCTCCCGCTTCTCCTGCTGCTCCCGCCGTGACCGTCCCACTCTCCCCCTCACCCGCACTCCCCTTCTCCCCACCCTCCCCCCTGCCACCCCCCGCCATCTCCTGAAGGCGCACCAGCTGCAGGTACGCCCCGCCTGGCTCCCCCATGAGCTGCTCGTGCGTGCCCTGCTGCACCATCTTGCCGCGGCTGAGCACAGCGATCCTGTCCGCCCCCCGCACGGTGGAGAGGCGGTGCGCGACAACCACGGTCGTGCGGCCCACCATCACCTTTTCCAGCGCCGCCTGCACCACCTTCTCGCTCTCCGCGTCCAGCGCTGACGTGGCCTCGTCCAAAAGCAGCACTCGCGGGTCCTTGAGGATCGCGCGCGCGATCGCCACACGCTGCTTCTGCCCGCCACTCAGCTGCGTGCCGCGCTCCCCCACCAAGGTGTCGTAGCCCTGCCACAGGCAAACGGGAAAAAGAAGCTCTAAAGAAAGTGTGAGCTAGTGCATTGGTTCCGAGAGAACTAAAGGGCAGGTGAGCTGAAGGGTGGGTGGGGGAGGGGAGTGGAGGGTGGGTGGGAATGAAGGAAGCAAATCGAAGCCATAGAGAACAGGAAGAGATGGCACAGCACCACGTGACTTACGTCTGAAAGCGACTCGATAAACTCATGGATATTCGCTGCCCGCGCCGCCTGCTTCACCTCCTCGTCGCTCACTGAACTCCCCTTCCCCTCTCCCCCTCCCTCTTCCCACGCCTCTCCGCCCTTCCCATACGCGATGTTATCGCGGATGGAGACGTTGAAGAGCGCGGGCTCCTGACTGACGAGCCCCATGTGGCGTCGCAGCCAGCACAGGTTGAGCGCGGCGATGCTGCGGCCGTCCAGCAGCACGGCTCCACTCTGCGGGTCGTAGAAGCGCTCCACCAGCGCCACCACCGTCGACTTGCCGCTGCCACTCTCCCCCACCAAAGCCACCGTCTCCCCCGCCCGGATCCTCAAGGAAAACCCGTCGAATATGGTCACCTCAGGTCGGGATGGGTACGCAAAGACCACCTCTTGGAGCTCCAGTTCGCCCTTGACTTCGGAGTCTGGGGGCGTTTCGCCAGCGGGGCTGGAGCTGTCGATAGGGGGGATGCGCTGGATGACCTGGAAGATCTTGAAGGCCGCAGCTTGCCCCGAGGCAAAGGCGGCAAAGGAAGGAGAGGCCTGGCCAAGGGACCTGGGGGTGGGAGATGGGTGAGAGAAGCAAGGGTGGTTGTGGGAGTGGGGGAGTGGGGGGTTGGGAAAGGATCAGGCGGGCCGGGGGGAGGATGAAGGGCCCTAGGTAGGAAGAAAAGGGCAGCCTACGAAAGCTAGGTAAGGAACCAGCGGCAGCCACCAGCAGCACAAGCAGTAAGGGCACCAGCAGCCTGCACCAGCAATGATGGTCACTGGCCCAGCAGGCACGCCTCTCGCATGCTGCCGATGACGACACCGAACAGCACAGCACAGCACCTTCCCTCCCCAGTCGAAGACTCGGGCATCCAGCACAAAGCATTCATCCAGACTCCCCCGCCACTCACATGCCCAAGAGACCCCCCTCGTGACTCACATGCCGCCAATGATGACGCCGAAGAGGACGGAGAAGACCTTGCCTCCTGAGTAGTCGCTTTCAGCGATGAGCTTGGAGCCGTACCACAGCGCGAGCGCGTACGAGCAGAACATGACGCAGATGGTCAGGCCGTACCCAAAGCCCGCCGCCAGGCCCTGCTTCACGCCCTCCCTGAACGCCGCGTGCAGGTGGGCCGCGTACGCCTGGACTGACTTGCGCTCCGCCGTGAAGGCTGCCACCTGGCAGGGGGAGGGGAGGAGATCGACAAACGATGGGAAGGGATGGGATGCGATGGGATGCTGAGGGATCAGAAAAAGGAGACACCGACGACCAAGGGTGGCTGTAAGGAAATCACTTTCCTTGGCCCGCCGCTACAGTATATCGTGCATCACCGTGTTGGAGATAGGCTGCAATTTGGTTGACGTCAAAATTTGTGTACTAGTAATTTGTTTGTTTAGGGTTAGGAATGTTTGTTCCGTTGGGTTAGGAATGTTTTCATCCCCAACCTATCCCAACCCAATCCATCACAAACCCCCTCGATTTTGGTGGATTCCCTGAGATTCCCTCCGATTCTCCCTTATCCCATCGAATCCTCTCCGATGCTTGGTATTTAAGCATGTATGCTCTTGCTCATTCAATCAATCAAGTTCCCACTTCTTGACATGGTATCACTGCTCCGTCCCTGCCTATGCGGCTCATGATCCTCACGCACAGCCTCTCTTGTCGTCATAATCGTCACGCTCTGAAGTACTCTTCTTTTGAAATCTAGAGCTCGCGCTTCCCAGCTCTTATCGCGGGATTTCAAATCGTTTCTTCGCTTTGGGCTGCCGCCCGTCGCCTTGCATCCGCTCGTCACTTCGCTTCGGGCTGCCGCCCATCGCCTCGCGTCCGCGCTTCGCTTCGGGCTGCCGCTCGTCACCCCGCATCTGCTCGTCGAAGCCAAACGGGTTGTCGCCCGCATCTGCGCCTTGAAGCTGAACGGGCTGCCGCCCGTCGCCCTTGCAACGGCAAGGGGTTGCGGCGGCAAAGCGGACAAGGTGCAGCAGCGAAGCGGACAAGGTGCAGCGGCGAAGCGGTGGCATCAGCGAAGCGGACAGGGGGCAGCGGCTAAGCAGAACGGCGGTAGCTGATTGCCATTTTCGCCAATTTCTTAACGATCCCACCAACTTCTCGGAAAAACCTTCCATTCCGACCCCGAAAACGTACGATGAAGCCATCTCTGGACCACATTCCCCTCGATGGCTTGCAGCCATGATCGCGGAATGTGAACATTTATTCGCAACAACTCTTTCGCGTATGTGTTTCTTCGTTTAGGAGTAAACATTGTGCGCGGCAGATGGGTTTTCCATGTCAAGCAACTACCTGCCAAACTCCTAGTCTTCAAGGCATGGTATTGTGCGTCAAAGGCTTCACACAGAAAAATGGGTTGGATTTCTTCGACACTCTCTCTCCAACGGCTAAACTGCCTACACTAAGTACCCTTCTTGACGTCGCTGCTCAAGGCAATTTTGACGTTTACTCTATGGACGTCTCTGCTGCATTTCTCCAAGGGGAACTCCGTGAGGACATCTACATGGAAAAAATTCAATGATTCCCTTTGCACTTTCCACCCGGCACAGTCTGGAAGTAAAATTGACCAGTCTACGGGAATGGCACAAGAAGCTGAAGGGCAAACCACGAGTTACTCAAATTCCATTGTTCCGCCGCCGATCCAAGTCTTTTCATTCGCAAGAAAGAGAAGTCATTCTTCATTCTTGTGTACGTCAACAGTATAATACTCATCTCCAAAGACTCTTATCAACTGGCAGCAGTTAAGCAGGCTCTTAGGGACGCTCTCGCCATGAAGGACCTCGGCGAACTCAATAACTACCTTGGGATAGAGATCTCGCGAAATCGCAAAGCCCAAACCATCACTCTCTCATCACTCTCTCTCAAGAGTTCTACATGAACAACGTCCTCAAGCGCTTTGACATGGACGAAGCCTAGTCAGTGGCCACACCGATTCTCTTACAGCATGATCTGACTTCCCCACCAGCCCAATCTCCCGCGCCTTGTGATGAGGCATATCCCAAGCTCGTCGGATCACTGATATTTGCGATGATGTGCAGAAGGCCCGACCTTGTTTACCCCATCAGTGTGCTCGCGCTTTATGTTGCTGCCGGTCGTTACACCAATCGCCACTAGTCAGTTGCTAAGCGTGTCCTCCGTTTCCTTCAAGCCACCAATGACTATGTCCTCACTCTCAGTGATATATCCCCTCCACCCCACGAGGGGTACAATGATTCTTCATGGGCTAATGACCAAGCTGACCGACACACCTCCCACAGCTACTGCTTCACCCTTGGCAGCGGTGTCATCAGTTGGCGACAAGGTTCAAAATTACGGCGTTTTTTATATTTTTAGCCCGTATTATACGGTTTCGTAATTTACGGCCGTATAATACGAATTTTACGGTTCGAAATCACCTTTTTTGGGTTGGTTCAAAAGAACGGCCGTTTTTTACGGCCGTTTTTTTGAACCTGTGGTGTACATTCAGAATGTCGAATTCCGTATCAGGATTTTGGGGATGGGGGTACACGCGCAACCCCGAATGTTCATAAGTCAACGTTTTCCCGAAGCGCGAAGTCAATCGAACCCCGAGTCGCGCATTTTACCGAATTTCCCTGGACCGTTACGAAAGAACCCCCCCTTCGCGAAACCCGTTGGTTCTTTTCGCGCCCAGTAGGGTGGTTTCGCGCATTTTACGAAACCCCCCTGCCGAAGCGCGTTTCGAAAACAGAACCCAATGGATTTGGGTTCTCTTCGAAGCCTTTCTCAACCCAAATTCGAAGTGCGTGAGATACAAATACGTAGGACGTTTTGTAAGCTGCCATAGGACTTAGTTTGGAGCGTTTTTCTAGCTGAAATCTAAGCCAGTTTACTCTACCGCATAGCAACTCCAGATTTCCTTGACATCGCTGACTTAAAACACCTCCGACCTGTTTCCGACGTATTTAGACAGCGTCGCAGACATGGGCAGGGCGGTGTCCCGCATGTGGGAACACGTCCGCCGAGTTAGGGGCGAGGACGGCAAGGTCCTCCGAATCGAATGCCTCCATTGCGAATCGGCGCTTAGTAACAGTGCAACCAGGATAGGCGAGCACCTATACGGAACGCCCGCGACGAAATTCAAGAACGTGGCTGAATGCCAGTCGGAATTCGCCAGGAATCTTCGCGCCACGGCCGAGGCGGAGCGCAGCTCTACCTGCTCCACAGCGGCGCCTGGCTCCGCATCAAAGATTGGGGGGGAACGGCAAAGCCGGCCTCGACAGCGCGACATTCGCGACCTCGTTGACCCTAAGGCGCGCGACCACCTAGACTACCTATGGGCATGCGCGGTGGCGGAGAACGATTGGTCATTCTGGTCTTCAAGGTATGTATTCCCGTTGTGTTGTTGATTGATCTGCTGTTTGTCACCTTTCAAGCATGCGCATGCATTGAATTCGGCAGAGAAGAACCACTAAGCAAACCTAACCCGCCACTTGCCCTACTTGCAGGTCCAAGGCCGTTCAGGCCTTTGTGGACGCTGCTGTCGCCTATGGGAAGCCCTATGACCTTCCCTCCGCATACAAGGTCGGCGGCCCCTTGCTGAAGAGGCTGAAGGCCGACTCTGACGCGCTAGTCCAGCCCCTCAAGGATACCTGGAAGACCGTGGGGTGCACCTTGTCGGTTGATGGGTGGTCGGATCTGAGGAGTAGGAGCCTCGTGTGTCTTATTGCCCAGAACGACACGGCCCCTGTTCTGGTCGAGGTGGTGGACTCAAAAACCGCCAAGAAAACCGGAGTTTTCTTGGCGGGTTTGATTAGATCCGCCATCTGCAAGATCGGTGATAGCTCGGTTGTCCAGGTTGTCATGGACAACGCGAGCAATAACCGAAGGGCGGCGCTGGAGTTGGCGGATGGTTTTCCCCGGGTTTTCTTCACGAACTGCGCAGCCCACTGTCTGGATCTTATGCTCCAGGACTTGGGCGCGCTAGACATCATCGAGCGGGTGCTGTTTCAGGCACACCGCTGCGTGATGCTCGTGAAGAACAGCTCGAGCGCTGTAACCCTCTTTCGAGAGGTGTTTAGTGAGCTCGAGCTGGTCCGCCCGGGGACTACCCGTTTCGGCACTCAGGTGATAATGATCACCCGTTTTTTGGAGGTCAAGTCAGCCATGATGCGGATGGTGATATCTGAGGAGTGGAAGGGGGTGGCCGTTTCCAAGACAAAGGAGGGGAAAAATATCAAGAAGCTACTGCTGGAGGACACCTTTTGGGAGGGGGTGGCGGCGGTCCTTGCCCTCATGAAGCCGGTGTATGAGGTGCTGAGGGCTGTTGACCGTAGATCTCTGCTTATGGGCAGGATCTACGGCCTCATGCTCGACGCGACGGTCAAGACAAACGCGGCCGCGGTTGCAGCGGGTAAGGGCTCACCTCGTAATTCCTTACCTCGTATTATCTGCATTCTCCCTCCAACCCGTCACACCCGCTCTCCCTTCTCTGCATTCTCCCTCCAAACCGTCACACCCGCTCTACCTTGTATGCATTCTCTTGTTTGCTGCCCTGACCACAAGCCTTGAACATGACTCACCTCCCTGCCCCCGTCACTCCCTCCCTATCACACGGCAATCCCCCCTGCAGCAAACTTTTTCGTGAAGCAGACCCCGTTGCTGCCGCAGAGGGACCGGGCTGCCTTTTTGGCCGACGTCAAAGCCATCATAGCCCGCAGGTGGGATGGGCAGCTCCACAACCCCCTGCAGGCCGTGGGGTGGCTCCTCTCCCCACGCAACCAGTTTGACAAGGAGGTCCGCGACGACCGTGAGGTCAACAAGGGTTTCGCCACAGTCATTGGGGCATGGGAGAGCGAATTGCAGCGGCAGGTCCTGCTGCAGGCACAACTCGCCTCCTTCCACAACGGGGAGGGGCGGTTGGGCAGCCAGCAGGCACGGTGGGCGGCCTCCACTCTCGTGGCGAGTGGGCGCCTGTCGGAGGCGGAGTGGTGGGTCATTTTCGGGGGTGAGGTAAAGGAGCTGCAGGAGATGGCTGTGAGAGTGCTTTCACAGCCCCTCACCGCGTCAGAGGTCGAGCGCTGGTGGTCCGCCATGAGCCGGGTTCAGCGGCGCGACCGGAACCGGCTGAAGGCCGAAACCATGGTCGACGTGACCTGGGTGGCCTTCAGCAGGCGCGCCAGGGCAGCGTTCGACGAGAAGGCGGCTGAACGCGCTAAGCTATATGGGGACTTGGCGGAGGGGAAGATCGGGGAGGGACTCCCCGGGCCTAGTGCCCCTCCACCAGAATCTGAGGGCTTGGAGGTGGAGCTTGGGGAGGAGGAGGGGGGGGAAGGTGGCGGGGAATGTGCCATTGATTGGGAGACCTTTGGGCTGGTCGGTGGGAGGGGGAAGAAGAAGGGGAAGGCAAAGGTCGGGAAGCGGGCGAAGAAGCATAGCGGGAAGGGGAGGGGGAAGAAGAAGCAGCGGCGTACCTTACACGAGGAGGCGGAGGGAGAGGAGGAGGAGGAGGAGGAGGAGGCTGAGTGTGCTATTGATGAGGTCGGAGCTGCAGAATCCAGCAAGGGGGCAAAAGGGGGAGGCCCTTGGGATGTGAACCAGTGTGAGGATGAGGAGGAGGAGGAGGAGGAGGAGGATGAGGAGAATGAGGAGGAGGAGGAGGAGGACGACGAGGAGGATGAGGAGGAGGAGGATGAGGAGAATGAGGGGGAGGAGGAGAAGGCGTAGAGTAGGAGTAGGATGAGGAGAATGAGGAGGAGGAGGAGGTAGCATGTGCAAGTGTAGGGATTAGGTGCAAATAGGGGTCATGCCTGTCTGCAGGTCGTGTTTGTAGGTGCCATGGTGCACTATTAAGCATTCAGTTTACGTTGCAGCCGCTTAGGAGCCAATCTCCCTCCAAAAAAAAAAATTCAAGTGCTCTATTTAAATTACGCCGTTTTTTTCCGAAACTGCCCGAAAAAAACGGTCGTAATTTACAGTCCGTATTTTTCGAAAACCGTAATTTTGAACCTTGGTTGGCGATCTATACGGTCTTCGCCCTGCGAAGCTGAGTTGTACGCAAGCACCATGGCAGCCCAAGAAGCTTGGTGGCTAACCTACCTCATGGCTGAGCTCGGTTTTCCTCATCAATCCCCGACTTTGTGGTGTGACAAAAAGCGCACCATACACCTTACCAAAGATCATGTCTTCCACCAACGGACCAAGGATATCGAGCTCCGACACATCTTTAAGCGGGAGCTGTTCCAGCGTGGTACGCCATGAAATGGGACTTGGCGGCTCTACGAGTTTCAACGTTGCAGCCTAGAGGGTGTGATGGAGATAGGCTGCAATTTGGTCAACGCCAAAATTTGGGTACTAGTAATTTGTTTGTTTATGGTTAGGAATGCTTGTTTAGTTGGGGTGTAGCTTTTTCGTCCCCAACCTATCCCAACCCAATCCATCCGATTCGGGTTGATTCCCCTCGATTTGGGTTGATTCCCTTGGGATTCCTTCCGATTCTCCTTTATCCCCTCTGATTCTCCCTTATGCTTGGAATTTAAGCATGTATGCTCTTGCTTCTTCAATCAACCAAGTTCTCACTTTCAGACACACTGTTCAACAAATCATCTTGATACCTTCGCAGTTACACGTCACTATTTTGCTCGAGCGTTAGCTTCCGCTTCCTCACAACCTGATCCTCCGCCTCGGCCCTAACCTGAGATCTGAACCTCGACGCCAGGCTCGTGATGCTCAACCAATCTTGCTCACGTTACTCGTTATTCCCTTCGCCATATACATTGCCTCGGTAGTGCAACCCTCGTTCGCTTGTTCCACATTCCAATGCACTCGTAACAGCGACTCAAAGTTCGGCAGCATTGCACAGTGTGCCAACACCCTGATAGTGTCCATACTCAACGTTCGAATGCCCCCCACATACTCACCATGCGAATGGCCCCCCGCACTCACCGTGCAGATAACAGCCACACACTCATCGTGCAGATAACAGGCACACACTCACCGTGCAGTTAACAGCCACACAATCACCGTGCAGATAACATTTCAAGCACTCACCGTGCGGATGGCCCCCACGCACTCCTCCACGATGGTGCCCGCAGCCGTGTACGCCTGTTGCCCCTTGCTGGTCGACTGCTGCACCACCACTGTGATGACCCCCCCCGCCACCGCCAGCAGCGGCAGCGTTGCCAGCATCACCAGCGCCAGCTTCCAGCCTGAGATGAACGCCACCACGAAGCCGCCGAAGAACTGAGCCAGGAACTGCATACACGTACCCACCTGGGGTTACTCATGAGGGGAGGGGAAGGGGGGGGGGGGGGGAACGAGATGTGGGAGAGAAAGGAATTCGTGGGTTGAAGGGGCTTGAAAGGGTGGTGATAGAAGGAGAGGGTGTGGGACTTGGAGCCAACTGTCACTTTGAGAGGAATGCCACTACTAAGCCATCCCACCTAGGGCGTGCACCACGAAGTGCATGCAAGTGCCCATCTGGGGGAGGGGAGTTGGAGAGATGGGGGAGGAGGAAAAATTATTGGGTTAAGAGGGTTTGAAAGGGTGGGGGATAGAAGGAAGCAAGAAGGACTCTCATGGCCCCCCATGGTCCCCCCCCATGGTCCCCCCCATGGCCCCCCCCCCATCCCCCCCCCCCCATTGGCCCCCCCCATGGCTCCCCATGGCCCCGCATGGCGCCCCATCACACGCCGCCCCAACAACCGTCACATGCCACCTTCTTCCCCTGTCTCAAGCCTTCCACTTGCTCGCTTCCCCCTCCTCACCTTCTCCCTCAAGCCTTGTGAACCCAAGAGCATCCTTACCTCCCCCTCCAACCCCCCCACCTCACCTTTTCTCCCCTCCTTCTTTCCTCCTCCTTCCTCCATCTCACCAATACCCCGGCACCCCCCCCCCTCGAAATCTCCCCCCGAAATCTCCCCCCCAAATCTTCTCCCCACCTCACCCGCACCAATCTCACCTTCTCGCCCATGGCGTCCTGCACTGACCTTCTCCCCCATGGCATCCTGCACGAGCACGATGTCGCCCGACATGTGCCCCACCACCTCGCCCGTGCTGAGGCTCGTGTCGAAGAACCCCACATCCTGCCGCAGCACCGCCGCCAGGTACAGCGACCGCAGGCGCGCCGCCTGCCGCTCGCCCGTGCTCATCCAACATGCCGTCTCTGGGTTGGGGTGAGGAGGGGGGAACAGGGGACAGATGGAAAGGGGAGAAGGGAGGGGGGAACAGGGGGACAGATGGAAGGGGGAGAAGGGAGGGGGGAACAGGGGGACAGATGGAAGGGGGAGAAGGGAGGGGGGAACAGGGGGACAGATGGAAGGGGGAGAAAGGAGGGGGAGAAAGGGAGGAAAGAGGAGAGTAGAAACGGAGGGGGGACGGGGAGAGGAGAGAGAGTGAGCATGAGCTTCCGCCCCCGAGTACAGCGCTCTCAACTGCGCCGCCTGCTGCTCGCCCATGCTCATCCAACTCACCATCTCTTGGGTGGAGGGTGGGGGGGGGGGTGGCAGGGAGAGGAAAGGGGATGGGGAAGAGTGGGGCGTGTGTGGGAAGGGACGGGTGGAAGGGGGAATAGGGGGAGAGAGGGGGGGAATGGGTGGCCTGCCGCTTGGCCATGCCCATCCAACACGCCGTCTCTAGGCGCAGCACAGAGAGGGGGGGGTGTGGAGGGCGGGAAGAGTGGGTGGGGAGCGTATGGGCGAGAGAGAGGGAGAGAGGGGAGTATGGGCGAGTGACCCCATGGTCTCACCAAACAAAGGGTTCCTCTGGGGAAAGCAACTAAGAAGCAATTAAGGAACCTTTTTAGGAACAAATGCCAGGAGAAGGAACTGGCCGAAGCAAGACCATAACAAGCATAAGAGTCAACTAAAAAAACCTCCCTTCTGCCTCTCCTGCACCTTCTTCCTTGCTCCTCCTTCCGCCCTCACGTATGTATGCCTTGACACCAGCCGCAATGGCGAGAAAGATCGATTCCCCACTTCATATATGTCTGTGCATATCTGTCTTTCTACTCTCCCTCCCCCACACCCCAACCCCCCCACTGCCCCCACCGGCCAACCCCCCACCCCCCTTCCTCACGTATGTATGCCGTGACGCCAGCCGCAATGGCGAGAAAGATGAAGTTGAGCGACGCCTGGAAGAGGGGAGAGGGGTGGAGGGGAGGGGAAGAGGGTTAAGGGGAAGGAAGACAGAGAAGGGAGGGGGGATATTTGGCAGGGGGGGGGGGAGGCGGGAGGCGGGAAGGGGGGTGAGGGAGCAAAGGTGTTGGCAGACGCAGCAAGGAGAGGATGAGGTGGTTGGCGGAGAGGAAGGACGAGTGACATAGCGGTTGCTCCAGCCTGCACCGCATATATGTATGCCTTGTGATTTTGGCACAACGGACAACAGGCGCATCCTGCCCCAAAACAGAATCAGATTGGCAGCAGCACCTTCCGTAATTCCCCGCCTTTTCATCTCCCCGCTCCCTTCCTCTCCCTCAACTCCTCCCTCCCTCCTTTCCTCCCCCTCCATCCTCCCCTCCTCCCTGCACCGAACCAATTACCAAGGCGTGATGCGAGGGAGGGAGGAAGGGAGCGTGAGCACCCTGCTGCACTCAGGGCAGAGCACGAGCGGCCCCACCCACCCTGCTGCACGCACATTGGCGACCCAGTCGTGGCCCCAGTCGTGGCCCCAGTCGTGGCCCCAGTCGTGGCCCCAGTCGTGGCCCTAGGCGCACCTCGCCAACACGCCGGAAACACGGCTAGACACCACACCATGTGAGTTTCGCGCTGAGGCAGCCCGAACGAACGAACGGACGGACGGACAGACGGACGCACTGCTGTGACGGACAAACAAAAACGTATGGCGTCCATGTTCCTTGGTGGTCCGGTACACCCGTTTACGTCCCTATATCCCTCTCCCCCCCCATCCCCCTCCCCCACTTCCCCCCTCACCGCTTCCTTGCCGCGCGCACCTTGGCGATCTGGTCGAGCATGGCGTCCATGGTGCCCGCGTTCTGCCCGAAGGCGTTCATCATGTCGCCGAACAGCAGCGCCATCATGGGCAGCGCGATGCCCTGCCCTATGGCGCCCACCGACCCCGCCACCATGAGGAGTACGTCCCACTTGTCCGCGTACCGGAACAGCTGCCAGTACGCCACCGTGCCGCCCCCACCCTCCGCCGAGCTCTCCTCCTTCCCCTTCCCCTTCTTCTCCGTCTCGTCCTTCCCCTCCCCATTCTTCTTCCCCTTCTCCGCCTCTTCCGCCTCCTCCGCCTTCGTCGCGCGCTCGCTTCCCTCCCCCCGTTCTACCGCCGCCAGCTTGGTCCCTTCGCCCTTCCTCGCTTCTCCGTCCTCCACTGCCCCCTTCGCAACTTCCTTCTCCGTATCCTCCGCCTCCCCCTCCTTCCCTTCGCCCTGCGCTACGCCGAACTCTCCTCCCGCCTCCCCTCCACTCTCCTTTCCCTTTCCGCCAGACATATCCGTTCCCCCCGCGTTCTCCTGCGCTCCCCCTCCCAGGAGCGGGGAGCTCTCGTCCGCTACCGCCACTACCGCATCTCCCGCCGCCTGCTGCGCCGTATCCTGCACCGGCGGAAGCGCCGCAGACGCCGCCGCGCTCTCCGCGGGCGCGGAAGGTGGCACGGGAACCGGCGGCGACCCGCCGCCCTCGGCGGTGTCGGGTTCCACACCCATGGGGAAAGCGCGTTGCGCAGGGGATCGCTTGGCTGGAGCACGACGATCGCACAGTTACGAATGGCGGCGAGATCTACATGGGTGGGGGGGGTGAAGGAGGGAGGGAGGGAGGGAGGGAGGGAGGGAGGGAGAGGGTAAGGAAGGGAATGGAGTTGAAGAAAGCATGACAGTGGCTACGGAAGCGGTAACAGTCTGCTACTAGACTAGACAAAGCATGCAAAGGATCATTTGAGCTCGATGACGAAGAGCTCGACTCTTTACTACCAAGTTCGTACATGTTTCAACTCTTTAACACTCATAGCGGGGACCGCTTTTGAGTCGACTCAAGAACGGCGATGGCTGCGGAAGCCTAAGGAACGCCATCATCGGCGCGCAGCAAAAATGATGAGCGTGTGCTTAGGTACAACGTATCATCCGGCGACCGGATCAGATGCAAAAAAAAAAACACAGGATTCATAGTACGCGTCAGGAATAATAATCACATAAAGAAACCGAAAAGGACACCGGATACCGAAAAGATAGTATATTGCCGAACTAGTAGTGCGCACGCGGAGCACTCACCCTGAGCAAACTTCCTGACAGAATGCTCTAAGCAAGCTTAGCGACGGAGAGAGTACCGGAATGTATCACTGCGCCTCGACAAAATCTGGGGTAGTCCTGTACTGTACTTAGCAGGTGTATACTGCGCGAATGCGCTAAGAGCGGAGGTCACATAAAAAAACTCGGAGGCCGAACGGACAGAAGTCGTTAGTGTATATCACTCTTGTGATGTCCACGCTGGGATTATGGATGCTATGTTGCCTTTGTGCTGGGCTTGTCCTTGGTTCTGCTGTTCGAGCGAACCTTTCTGAGGCGCGTGTCGTGCCGTGCCGCTGTGTTTTGGCGGGATGAGGAGGTGGCAACTGCCACTCTCGCAATTGAATGAGCAATGAACAAAAGGAGGGTCCCTTGCCTTTCCACAGTGACAATTCGTACAGCTTTGCTTTCTGGCGCTGCTCGGTGTACAGTGCAATGCCTTGTTCTTGACTCTAACTGGTGTAGCTTTGTCCAAGAGGGTATCCCTGAACCTCCCGTCAAAATATCTGGACAGCTCTCGTCAAAGTTCTGGTGTCTCCGAAGTACGTCCGATTGGGGTTCGGTTCGGACGTAAAATAAGCTTCTACAGGTTAACTACGGTATTCAGCCAGAAGGAATATTTGTGCGGTTCAAACTGGAAGCCCTCGTCCTGCCCTCGGGCAGTTTCAGCGACATTGACTTGGAGAGCATGGATCCCCCGAATCCCGTACAGAAGTGTACACCCTACATCTTGTTTGTCTCAAATCACGAATCATAAAAAAACGGATACAGTCATTTCTAAGATCGGCTTCTTATCACATTGTGAAATGGACTTTCACATTGCCCTGGACCAAATATGGCATAGTGCGGGAAAAACCACAGACCTTAATGGGTTGAGCTGCTGATTCCACAAGCTCCTCGTCGCGTAAATCCTCCATTCGGAACATTCTGTTTCATTCTGTCGAGCGTTGACAGTTCGCTACAGTGCGCAGGCCTTTCTGGCTGTTGCGATCCCTTCCACTGTTTTTTTTTTTTTTTTTGAACTCCTCTCTCGTGCCCTCCACGTCGGACCAAACACTTGTCACTCCAGAATACACCCCCGAATTATTCAAGAGCTCGAAAAATGCCCTTGGCGGTCGGTTCCCCGGGCGGTCACGTACAATCACAATCCGAAAAAAAAAACAAAACAAAAACAAACAAACAAACAAACAAACAAACAAACAAACAAACAAACAAACAAACAAACAAACAAACAAACAAACAAACAAACAAACAAAAACAAACAAACAAACCTGACATTCACGCTTGATTCTAACGAGGTTTAATGTGTAATACCCCAGACTGTGCCGCCAGGGTTTTACGCATTGGATGGAAACCTTCCACACGAGAGTTTAGACACGTCCTTACCAGAAGCGCAATTTACGTTTTTCCCTTCGAGTCTTTCACCCAATCGCAGAATTTGGGCGGCGGCTGACGTGACATCAGGAAGCTCCAGCGCATACACCAGACACTTCCGCGCGGATTCCAAAGTGAATGCGCTGGCAGACGCAGCACGTGGGACCTGGCACACGGGAGACCCCGCCCGCACGAATCTCGAGCTGCCACTGGTTTCGCAACAGGCCTGTGGCTGTGGAATTCCATTTGGGAACCGGTTTGGTCCCAGAAATATCCGCCAGTAGACAAATTCGTAAGTGTACTGAGGAACCAGCGAGTGTCGAATATTGGTAGTAGCGAGGAAACAATACAATGATGCAACGATACAACAACCGAGGGTCTGAATAAGCTAGGCCTGGAGCACACGGTAGAGGCTAGGCAGAGCTGAGATGTGTGGTTTGTAAATCGGCACGGAGCACACACATTCAGGCATGAAACTGTAAGGCGGGTGAAATGTATGTGGTTCGTCAAGAGACCACATTTGGGTTCCGCGAGTTTAAAATTCGTGGCAGATTGCGCACCAACCTTGTTATTGAAGTGTACGCCAAACTAACTATAACCCCGGATAAGGAAATGCCGTTTCCTTACACTCTACCCTATCCTAGGTATGGTATTACTTAAGACCGCCGACGTCGCGCACATTGCGAGACTGTAATAAATTAGTAATTCCTTACTAAGGCGCACTGCTAGCGCGTACAACGCACATACACGGCACCGGACTAGGCCCTAGTTCTGTCACCGTACGTGCTACACCAAACCATTCCGCCTCATTCCGGAGCGCTCCGCGTCCTCGGATGCCTTCTCGGAACCTTCACATGGTTAATGTTCGCTCTGGTGTTCCTATATCTTGCCTCGTCATTCATTGTATCGACACTCTGATTACTCTGATAATTCTGTCATTTCGAATCTTGGTATTCACTTCTGCGCTACTCTTGGATTTTCACCAATAACAGAGGCTGTAGATGTCAACTTATACATATTATCTATGTAGAAGTTATAGGCTAGACTGAGGTATGCTTCTGGTGAGTACAACCAACTAGTATTTGTTCTAGGTTTCCACCTCTAGTAATTATTCGTTTCTACTTTAACATGGTATCACGCTTAGGTTAGGATCCCCCCGCCTACCGCTTCCGCCCGTCGCGCCTCCTAGGCCCCGTCGCGCCCCCTAGGCCCCGTCGCGCCCCCCCTGGGCCCCGTCGCGCTCGTTAGGCCCCGTCGCGCCCCCCCTGGGCCCCGTCGTGCCCGCTGGGCCCCGTCGCGCCTCCTAGGCCCCGTCGCGCTCCCCCTAGGCCCCGTCGCGCCCGCTGGGTCCCGTCGCGACCCCTAGGCCCTAACGCGCCCCCGCTGGGCCCCGTTGCGCCTCCTAGGCCCCGTCGCGCCCCCCATGGGCCCCGTCGAGCCCGCTGAGCCCCGTCGTGCCTCCTAGGCATCGTCGCGCCTCCTAAGCCCCGTCGCGTCCCCCCCCCTCTGGGCCCCGTCGCGCCCGTTCGGCCCCGTCGCGCCCCTCCTAGGCCCCGTCGCGCCCGCTGGGCCCCTTCGCGCTTCCCAGGCCCCGTCGCGCCTGCTAGGCCCCGTCGCGCCCCCCCTGGGCCCCGTCGCGCCCGTTAGGCCCCGTCGCGGCCCCCCTGGGCCCCGTCGTGCCCGCTGGTCCCCGTCGCGCCTCCTCGGCCCCGTCGCGCCCCCCCTGGGCCCCGTCGTGCCCGCTGGGCCCCGTCGCGCCCCTTAGGCCCCGTCGCGCCCGCTGGCCCCTGTCGCGCCTGCTGTTAGCGCTCGCCCGCCTGGCCTCCTCCTAGTGCCGCTCGGCCTCCTCCTAGTGCCGCCCGGCCTCCTCCTAGTGCCGCCCGGCCCCTTCCTAGCGCCGCCCGGCCTCTCCTCAGCGCTGCCCGGCCCCTCCTCGTGCCCGACCGGCCCCAGCAGCACCAGCCTGGCCCCTCCCAGCACCAGCCCGGCCCCAGAGCACCTGCCCGCCTCCCCTGCTCGGCCTGCCGTGTCCTCTCGGGCCCTGTGTCTTCTGCTTGCCTGCGCTGGGACGCCTAGCTGCTGCCCTACTGGAGAGTGCTGCCGCCGTGTCCCCGCGCCGCTGTGCTCCTGTGCCGCTGAGGAGCTGTGCTGCTGTGCCGCTGTGTCGCTGAGGAGCTGTGCCGCTGACCCTGCACGATGGCTGACTTTGTGCTCCGCCTGGACGCTGAGGGCCACGCGGTTGACTTCGCCGCCTGGCTCTCCGATCTTCGCCGCCAGCTTACAGGTCAGCGCCAGGATGGCCACTCTCTGGTTGTCCATGCTGATGGCTTGCTCCCCCGTCCCCCTGCACCTACTCCCCTCCCTGCTGACCCCTCCTCTGATGACCGTGAGGCTTTCTCTACTGCTGCGCTGGCCTGTGCGATCTGGGACTCACGCGATGCAGTAGCTCAGGTTGCTATTAGTCACGCCCTCCCTGTGTCTGAGCGCTCGCGTTTTGCTACTGTTGAAACGGCCAAAGCTTATTTAGACGCCGTTATTGCTCGCTATTCCACCCCTGCCTCCGCTTCTGCTGGCCGCTTGCTCTTTCCGATGCTGTTCCCAGACCTGGCTGCCTTCCCTACTGTCGCAGATTTTGCCACTCATTTGCGTGCCCTAGAGACTCGCTATCGCACTGCCAGCACTGCTGCCCAGCTCACTGCGCTCCCCCCTCCTTTCTGCATGACGCTCTATTTTATCGCTATGCGCCTGCCAGACCGCCTCGCTAGTGCTCGCGACCACTTTCTTAGCCAGCACCCGGGTGACCTCACCCTGACCGCCTTTGTCGACACCCTCACTGAGATCGAGACTCGCCAGCGCACTATCGCTCAGTCGAGCGGTGCGCCGCCAGTCTCTATCTTTCACGGCTGTGCCCCATCCCCGTGCACGTTCACTGACGTTTCGGCTGCGGTCGCCACGGCGACCCCTCTTACCGAGACGGCTGCTGCTGTCCACCCGCAGCAGCGCTCGCGTCGCGGTGGCCGTGGCCGCCAGGGAGGTAGGGGTGGTGACGCAGGTGGTAGTGGTCGTGGTGGTGGTGACGGTAGTCCGCCTGAGGGGACTACCACCGGTGGGCAGGAGCAGCAGTCCCAGCAGCAGCAGGACCAGCCCCAGCCGCAGCCGCCGTCCCAGCAGCACCCGCCGCAGCCGTGGGCTCGTCTCCCGCCTGGTTGGCCCGGCACCTCCGGAGGCGGTGGCCGTGGTGGCGGCCCGCGCAGCTTGGCGTCTACCAGCGGCTCCAGTGCTGTGACCTGCCAGTACCAGCTTCAGACCGGGCCTCTCCGCGGCACTCTGTGCCGCCGCCCGCACCCGACCGCCCGCTGTTTCCGCCGCCTCGACGATCTTTTTCGTCGTCGCTTTGGCCCGGCCCCGGACCTCCCTGACTGGCACAGCCTGCTCCGCCAGGGCGTGCCGATCTTTGAGTTAGACATGGATCAGATAGGTGCTGCTTTGCATGCTTTGTATGCTGACGCTTCTAGTGTTGATGGATCTTACTACCCTGTGTACTCTAGTTTAGGTGTTTCACCCTTGTGTAGCTTAGCTTCCCCTGCTGCGACAGGCGTAGGACTGCCTAGGTTGCCTAGTCTAGTCGCTGCACCGGCTCCGTCCCCGGCCCCCGCCACTGCGTCGCTGTCCTTCACTCTCGACTCTGGTGCTTCTGCCTGCTTCTTCCGCGACCGTTCCACGCTCACGCCGCTTGCTGCACCTGCTGTTGTCTCTCTCGCTGACCCCTCTGCGGGTCCGGTCGTCGCGCGCAGTTCTACGTCCCTTCCCTGTCCGGCAGTTCCCTCGGGCTCCCTTACTGGCCTCCACGTTCCCTCGTTCTCCAGGAACCTGGTTGGTGTCGGCTGTCTCCAGGACCTCGGCGTCACCACCACGTTCCCCGGGCACGAGCGGTTCGCTGTCTGTTCTGAGGC